AAGATCAGCTACATACTTTGTGGGGCTCAATGCAAAATGAAAATGTAGGATCCTTTTCAAATAGCAGGAAATAAGTGCTAGTAAAAGTACTAAAATATAAAATTCTTTTCTTCCGGCAGTCTTTCTCCCTCTTTCTCAACCTAAGGATGTAAATATAGATATAAATACATAGTTTTAAATTTACTGTTTACTTGCATGCTCTTTGGGCAGGAGGATACCTGGAGGGTGATTGCAGACATTCCCAGGCCCCTCAGGGCCCTGTCTCGTGACTGAGTGTGCTTGCATGGCTCACCATATGCTGGGTCCCCACCTCTGGCCAGGCTCCAGACCAACATGCTGAATTCATTGAGCAGGGAAGTCAGGCCAAAACCACAAAGGGCACTAAGACCCCTGCTTCTGGAGGCCCTAGCTACCTAGCTCAGGGTGAGTGAGAGACTACTGTGGAATGTTCCAAGGCTCTGCCATCTAGGGAGGAGTGATCACCACCAAGTCCCACCAGGGTGAAGGTGCCTGACCTCCACCCTCTAGATGCTCATGACCAGGCCCTAGCTGGTGACAGAGGGCCAGTGCTATCATTGGGCAGGCAGGAGAGGAGGAGGCTGAGAAGTGGTCCAGCAGAGGTGGAGGGGGATGGGACTGCAGGTAAGGAGACATTCTAAATCCTTGAACTCTGTACCCCTGGGCATCTGAGGAGGCAAATCTGATTATTCCTAGTGTTTAGGATGTGCCTCCCTGGAGCATTAAGAAGAGCTGGGATGTGGGGCGCCTGGGTGGCTCAGTTGGTTAAGCGACTGCCTTCGGCTCAGGTCATGATCCTGGAGTCCCGGATCGAGTCCCCCATCAGGCTCCCTGCTCGGCAGGGAGTCTGCTTCTCCCTCTGACTCTCCCCCCTTTCATGTGCTCTCTGTCTCTCTCATTCTCTCTCTCTCAAATAAATAAATAAAATCTTAAAAAAAAAAAAAAAGAAGAGTTGGGATTGTGGCTTTTTCATTTCAGTTTGAAAAAAAATACCAGTTTCTTTTTAAAAAAATTTTATTTGTGAATAAAAATCAAGCAATATCCTCTGAATGAGGATTGTTTGGAGTAAATTCTCTTTGCAATTGTATGCCGACCTGATCATGATTTGGTTCCCCAGCCAGTCTCATACTGCCTTTTGGATCGACCAATAGGGAAATTTGTGTTTATTACCCAACTGATTTTCCTGACTGCCATTCCACTGCCCTATTGACTAATGTGCTTTTCCTCCTGTTTCAGTAGATAGCCTATTAGGATTCTCTGTGTGATTTAATTAAATAAGGCGCTCCCCAGAATTCAAAGACAAAGTCAATTGACATTGAAACAATTAGAAATACGCATAAAATATGTGAAATTAGGTGGAAAGATTTCACGGGCACTGTTTCTATTACTTTTCTCCATAGAGAAGTCTGTTCCTTCTCTCATCCCCCACATGCTTCATACTGAGGGTGAGGATGGGAATGCATCTTCCTCTCATGATCAAAAAGCCTCCTTCTTTAATGCTCAGGATATTGTTTTCTTACATCCCACCCACTCTTAGCCAATGCTGTCCATATATTCTTTTGAGAATTTGACAACTAACTCAGGGTCCTTCTTCTCCTTCAGTTTTCTCAGGTTATCCTGGGAACCTCAGGGCTGTTCGCATGATGAATCCAGCACCTTGCCTGTTTGATTTTCCTGGTGAATCTCTATTCCACTTCATCAGCAACCCACACCTAAGGGGTCACACAGGACAGCAAGTCATAACTGAGTTTTTTCAGTTGTGAAATCTTGGAGTCCGTTGCTCCACTTTTACAGTTTTCTGTTTCTTCAGATTTCTCACCAGCTTGCTCTCCTTACTTTTGCTCTTCCACACCCTTATAATTCCCAGTCCTTTGCTTTATTTCTCTGGATGCTACTAGTCCTTACTGTGTTCCGTTTCTTCCTTGGGCTGTCACCTTAATCTTACCTGATTTCTGTTTCATCACCACCACCTTGCAAAATTTCAACTTTGATTCTGTTCACACCATCCTTCTCTGTTTCTGTGCTTTGTAAGGGGCATAATAGAATGAAGGGGGAAAAATCTAACTCTAGGATCGAGTTTTACTTCAAATTTATAGTTTCAGGTCTTTAGCTGAGCAGGACCTTCATTGTTCCCCAGGATTTATTGTTTATTTAAATTCAAAAATAAAATTGTTGGGGCACCTGGGTGGCTCGGTTGGTTAAGTGTCTGACTTCGGCTCAGGTCATGATCTTGGGGTCCTGCAATTGAGCCCTGCAGTGGGCTCCGCATTGAGCAGGGAGTCTGCTTGTCCCTCTCTCTCTCTCTCTGCCCCTCCCCCTGTTCATTTTCTTTTTCTCAAATAAATAAAATCTTAAAAAAAAAAACAAAGAAAACAAATATAAAATTATGTAGCCAGCTTTTTCTCCCATTCCCTGTATGTACATGCTCATATTTTTGTCACTTTCCTCTGCATTTAATTCTATTTAAGCATTCATTCAACAAACTGCTTTCCTACTTCACAGAAAATCTAGAAGCTAATTGCCAAGATTCCATATATTCATTCCTCCTTCCTTTTCAAACTACAAAGTTATGTATGTCTCCACCAGTTCTTTCTCTCACCATTCAAACTCTGGCATGAACACTCTGGTCTCTCTTTGGGAGTTGTGCTCCATCAGTCATCCCTTCTATTTTTATCTTTAACAATATCATATCATTTGGCCCCTCTCCTCTAACATATAAGAAAATGATAATTTCCCCTACCTTATAAATATGGAAAACAAAAACTTCATTTCTCATACCGTTATACTACCTACTATCCTTTCTTTCTCTAGTTTACAGCTGAAATTTATGAAAGAATATTCTATATGGGCTATCACAATGCTTACATCCCACTTATAAGTAAACATTCACTTTTACTTCATTTCCAAACATACTGTACCTGGGGACTCCAAAGATATCTTAAGGACATTTTCTTGTCTGACTCTACTTATCTGAGGCATTTGGCATCATTGATTACCCCTGTCTTCTTGATTCGACTTAAACTTTTGCTATTCACCCTTATCTGAGAAAAAAAATTACTGGAAGGAATTAATGGGAGACCAGATATTACAAAAGATAATATAGTAAATTTGAAGCTATAGGAACTCTCCAAAATGGGAAAAAGAAAAAAAAAAAGAGAGAATAAAAAGTACATATAGACCTGTGGGACAACTTCAAGTAGCCTAATATACTGACTTTCCTAAAAGAGAGTGGGAAACAGAACATTTGTCACCAAAAATATTCCTAATTTGATGAAAATTATTAACTCATAGATTCTAGGAACTAAGTAAACCCCAGACATATACACATGAATTTCAACTTCTGCATATTTGTGGAGGACTGTCAACTAAGGAATACACCATTTTATTTTTTATTTTTAAAAAATTTAAAAGATTTATTTATTCATTTTAAGGGGGGGGGGGCAGAGGGAATGTGAGAGAGAGAAATTCAAGCCGACTCTGCCCTGAGCACCAGTGGGAGGCAGGCTTGATCTCACCACCCTGAGATCATGACCTGAGCCGAAACCAGGGGCCCCAGGCGTAACCCACTATGCCACCCAGGTGCCCCCCGAAGACAGGCTTTTCGATCAATTACTGTTTTATATAATGGACAACCTATTAGACATCTTTACCTGGATGCCCCGTGTTAGACTTTAAAGACAATATGGCTACTCCTTTACCTATTTGTTTGTCAACCAGCATTTATTGAGATGCTGATAAGTTCCAGACACGGCAATAGGGATCAGAATTACAAAATTGAAAAGAATGGTTCCTGACCTCTAGGTGTCTACACAAGGCAGACAAGGTATTTAAGATGCGATGTGTTAAATTCCATAATGGTGATGACTAAAAGGTAAAAAGTACCACAGATGAAGGCATAACTGAATCGGACTGGGAGAATCAGCCAAATGTACTAGTATTTCAATTAAATGCTGAAAGTTGCGCATTGACTGTTGTATTCAGAAAGTCATTTGTGAGAGCTCTGCTGCAGGCTTGGCAAGGGGAGCGTCTTGCGACCCTGGCTGCTTCAGCCACCAGAGGGCGCTCATTCCCCGCCCGGAAATCCGTCTGCTCCCGCGGGAGGCCCGGTTGCGGCAGGCTACACGAGTCTTGTTGGAGCGTGGACGAGGTGCCGGGCCCCAGGTGGTTCGGGGGAGAAAGGCGAAGGCTGAATGGGGGCACTTGAGGGAAGGGTACCTGAGAACAAAATCTAGGGGCCAGGACTGAGCCAGAGGATGGCCCCGGGAAATGTGGGGAGGGGGCTGGGAGACGCGGGGGCGTGGACGCGGGCTCCTTGGGCTCGGGGCGGGGGTGCTTTTAGAGGCGGGGGTCTTGGCCTGAGCAGATTTCTTAGCATCGAGAGAGGCGAGGAGGTCCCGAGAGTATAGACGTGAGAGGAGGAAGCTTGTGTCTGGAGAGACGCCCGCCAGTAGCTGCGAAGAGTCCTGCCCGAGTCCAGAGCGTTTGGGGGAGGCGGGTGAGAGAAGAAATTTGTTAGAGAGAGAGAGAGAGATCATTTGTAACTTAGTTAAAACATATTCATTAGAAGAGTAGCGACATAAGTCCGATTACAGTAGGATGAATAGGATATAAAGGAATGGAAACAGGAAATACAAATTACTTTTTCTTTGTGGGTAGTTACGTAGGAAGGTTAGAAATGGCATGATCACCAGATCAGAAAGTAGGGATGACACCTAAGGGGAGAACCATAATTTTGCATAAACATTATGGGATGGAGAGTGGTAGTGCTCACCAGTATCTGAATTCCCTTCTTCTTGCAACTCTTACCCTACATCCGGCTACAAACCCTTGCCTTTAGTGGGGCCATAGGACTGACTTCTGATCAGAGAAATTTGGGCAGAAATTATGCTCAATACTACCAGATATGACCTCTAAAATCTCTTATGGACTCTTCTGTATTCTTTATAAAATTAAAATAATTCTTGTTCTCTCATGTGGTGCAGATGATCCAGAAGACTTGGTGAAATGGTGGAGCGCAAGGGGGAAAAAGCCTTGGTCTCTTAACCACAGTGTGGAAGCTCATCTACGGACATGGTACTGTGACATGACTATCTTTAAATTTAATTTCTATTTCTTTAAGCCTGGGGATATTTGCTTTGCAATATTTCAGGTTGCAGCAGTTTTCAAAACCAGAGCTTCTAAACTCTTTGAAGGGTTTTAATAATTCCTTAACATGTTTTATTGGGATGTCCAAGTATATTCTTTTATTTACTTGTGATTTATTGCCTCTGGATCCCAAAGTCCCCAGAATTAACATTCGTGCAGTTGGGTGCAGAGAGACAAGCCAGCCCCTGTGTACTGCCCCCACCAGAAGTCACTCCTCTCCCTCCCCTTCGTTCACTGCCACCCATCTGCTGTTTCTGCACCTGCTGCTGTGGATCTGTACCCAGGTCCTGGCCAGCTTTTTCTCTCAGAGCCCCAGGAGTCCTGGAGAGGGCTAGAGAGGCGCATTTTGCTTTGACAAGCCCACCTGTGCTAGTTGCTGCCAAGTGTATCTTTTTTGCTCATAGACAAGGTCTACTGTTACAGAGGATCTCACTTAGAAACATAGGTCCTGAGATGAAAGTATGTAAGAATTTCAAGAAGGCAACAGCAGAGCGTTAAACCAAGTGTGGAGATCCCTTCTGGGCATGGAACCTTGTACAACTGAGCAGATCACCCGGAAACGGAGCCGTTGAAATTCCAGAGGTGGTTCAGGTTTAGGTGCTGTTTGATCCAGAGGTTTATAATGTCAGGTTTTCATTCTGTTTTTCTCTGCAGTTTTCTCTGATTTCTCACTCTGAGTTATTTCGTATTGGTTCCATCCTTTGACTAGCTTCCTGCCTGGAAGAAAAATGATCTCTTATGAGTGTATTAGGTAGTCCTAAGCAAAATTGTATTTTTGTTCCAGATATCTCATTCCATGTCTTGAGATTCTCACCAGTCAATTAGGCATGGGTTACATGGCGTGTGCTTAGGGGATAGGCTACCTGATTGGCTTAGTGTAGCTTATGTGCTTCACCACTGTAGTAAGGTTTCCTGGAACCAGTGGCTCCCAGCATGATAACTAAGGACTTTTGAAAAGTAGGAATTGATACTATGGAAGAAATCAGAAATGTCCACCACAAAACATTTCTTGCGTTAATGATTGACAGATTGGAATACTTTATCCTGGGACAGGATTTGTAAATATGCTTCTTGTTTCCAAAGTCTTAACTGAAATTGTAACTAGGATCATATAAGCTGCTCTCTAGGTAAATATCATATGACAATTGTTAAAAAACTGTGATGAGAAACATCGGTCTATTTAGGGATATTGAAAAGAAGCACTGGGTACAAAAAATGCTCTGTGTTTTTCCAGCACTGCTGGAGGAAGATGTCTCAAGGCTTCAGATGACCAGTACTAGTTACATTCTAGATTTATGTATCTCTGAAGATATAAAGAATAAAATACTAGCCTGATGTAAATATCCTTGAAGCAAGGGAAACATTTCCTATAATTGTTCTGTGGTTAGTGGACAGATTCTCTTATATGATTTGGTTTGCGTAATAAAACTGCACACCGGGAGGAAGTGGTATATACAAATTAATAGTAACTACTAATAAATTATCAATCTAGCTTAAAATAAGCCTTTTAAAAGAGTTCTGAGGTGTTCCATCTCCCAAGAAACTGAATTTCATTCAGGAATTGAAAAACCAAAGAAAAGAACAAAATTTAAAACCAGGTAAACAAAAAGATCTTGATGATGGTCTTAGCTTGTATAGCTGAGGATCTGACCCCTGGTAACTTCATGCATTTGTTTGTCCATTAATTAGTTAATTAATTAATATCACACATTGGGCACTCTAATATTCTCAGATTTGTGCTGAGATGCAAAGATAAGGCTAATCTGATGGAGTGGACCTTTGATCATTAGGCCCCAAATCTTGTTTTCTCATTGTCTTAACAATAAAACCTAGCCACTGTCCCTGATTCCTATGCTTCACCACCAGATTGCAAAAATGCTATTATATAAGTTTAGCTATGAGAATATATACTTTAATTTATACATTAAATAGGAAAAACAGGCATGGAATGAAGAAAATTGTAATGTATTTGTTTTGATTATTAAATAACGCAGCATATAACTTGATTAATTTCAAAGGCATTTATTTTTTACTATGATAGCCACTGAATTTCGCTTTTGGGGCCTACGTTATTTTTACAAAATAGATTATTAGATTATAATTCCCCTCCTCAAGTCATTTTTGGTTTGGGTTTTCAGTTAGCAAGACAAGCAATTACTACTGTTGAATCTGGCAGCTAGCCAGTGTTTTTAATTGAAATGGTATTTTGCAAAATAAAGAGCATGAAGTTATTCAAGGAAGTGGTGTTGATGTGTTAACAGGAGCGAAGTATAAGGAATGGTGATTATATATTTTTAACATGCTAAAAATGTTCCAAATTAACAGTTGGTAAAATTGTTATGAATGTTGCAGCAAATTCATCTACTTCTTGGAGAAACTTGAATAATATGAGGGCACTTGCAAAGATGCTTTTTAAAAGAGACAAACAGATCATAACAACATCACAGGAAAGCAGGGACTTAGTTTAAATAGAATTGGCATGGCTTCAGAGTTAGATTGACCTGGATGATCCCATATTGTCCATCATTTAGATGAATGACCATGATTAAATACTGTAAACACTATGAAGCTTCAGTTCTCTCACCTCTAGAAACTGGATACCAATTTTACATTACAGATTTTTTGAGTGTGTGTGAAGATTAAATGAGATAATATCTGGAAAACACATATCCCTGTGTCTGGTGTGTAGGTTTTCAATAAATGATAAATGCTGTTTTTATGTTTGCTTATTGGGGACATGTTGACAGAAATGTATAGAAAAACTGATAACTTGTATAAAGAAGTTTTACATTCTACTGATGTTGTCTATTAATATATATCCGTATTCAAATCTCTCAATATACTTCCCTCAGTTTAATTTAGCTTCTCCTTCTGCTCAGTTTTTTTTTTTTTTTTTTTCTTTCTTGCTCGGTTTTGTTTTGAACTCATCTAGAATGAGTCCAAAGTCAGGATTTAAATCTTGCTAAGCCTATGAAGCCTATGCTGACCTCTGAAGTTCAAGTAAAAGTTATATTACTTTCTGTAAAAAGTATGGACTACACAAAAGAATGATTGGTTGCATAATCAAAGTAACCAAAGTCAATTAATTATTAACTTATTAATTAATTCATTTATTTTTTCAACAAATTGTTGTCTTGTGACTGTTGTAAGTCAGGAATAATTTGGGGCACTGGAAGATTAATCTTGTTAGTTTAATGGTTTTCAGCCCTGATCTCACATTAGACTCATGTGGGAAGATTTATAGAGTACCAGTGCCTGGGCTCTATACCCAGAGATTCTGATTTAACTAATTTGTGTGAAGCTCAGATGTTTTTAAAACCTCCCCATGGCAATTCTAGTACGTAGCTGTGCTTTGAGAGCCACATATTTAAAGTAGTGCTTCTCAATCTTGTGAACAATTGTAATCGCCAGGGAAGTTTTAGAAAAATACTGATGTCTGGGTACCATCATTACTGGTGTAAGAGTCTGCAATGTATGAATGGAGGTCTAGGTCCTTGGATTCCCCACAAGAAGATTTACATGGGGATCTGTGCTGGAATATAGACAGCAGGAAGGAAAGCAGCAAATACAAAGCAGTTTATTAACACGAACGTACTCTCAAGGTGGGATAGGGGACAGGTTCTAGTAGGTGGAACTGGCCCCTAGGTGGTTTTGGCTATTATTGGGTCTCCCAGGGCTAGCAGCAGCTGTGAAGTACAGAGGGTCGTAATGGAGGCTTTTTCCAATCATTTGGGAGACTTCTCCCACAGGTTGGGAGAGGGAGTTTATATGTGTTTATATGTAGCTGGTATTTTGAAATTAATGTACTTTTTATTCTTGTTCATTCCTGGGAGTTCCTTTTCCTTTTCCTTCATTTTCCCTACTCATTTTCACATTTTTATTTTGCTTTTTTAAGGTATAATTGACAAAACTGTAAGACATTTAAAGGGTATAATGTGATGATTTGATATAGATATACATTGGAAAAGGATTTCCCTCCATTGAGTTAATTGATATATCTATCACCTCATATGATGTGACTTTGTTTTTGTTTGGTGAGGACATTTAAGTTCCACTCTCAGGAAATTTCAATTCTATAATACAGTGTTATCAGCGATAGTCATCATGTTAAACATTAGATCCTCATACCATCTTCACACTTTGAATCAGTAACATTCATTGCTTAAGGCAGATTTATCATAGAACAAAGAAAACATTGCTCAGATTTGATTGGAAAATCAGAGATTTTTACACTCATAGTGTATCAGTGATAATGAATGCACTGGTTTATAAATTGCCCAAATTAGTTATTCTAAAGATCAGTTATAAAACAGAAGATCATAGGGGAAGGGAGGAAAAGTAAAACAAGATGAAATCAGAGAGGGAGACAAACCATAGGAGACTCTTAATCATAGGATACAAACTGGGGGTTGCTGGAGGGGAGGGGTTCAGGGATGGGGTAACTGGGTGATGGACATTAAGGAGGGCACATGATGTAATGAGCACTGTGTATTTTATAAGACTGATGATGAATCACTGAACTGTACCTCTGAAACTAATAATGCATTATGTGTTAATTAATTGAATTAAAATAAAAAATAAATAAAAATTTAAAAGATAGTGGAAAAAATAAAGATCAGTTTTACAATCTATTTTTTTCTATATTAAGGGACTGAACCTTATGAATCTTTAGCATAAGATTTTTCAAACCAACAGACAGTAAAGTCAATATAGGAAGCTAATGCAAGAGCAATTCTCCTGGGCTTGGGAGATCAATTTTTAGGAAATTAAGAGAAAAGATTCAAAAATGTACTCTGGTGTTTGCCTGGGGAAGACCTTTTGCCACGTGACTATCTCTTAGAGTGACATTCCTTTGGAAGAGAGGGGTAGGGTCGTGATAGAACTACTCAGGTAGATTGGGAGAATCCCCAAGCCAAAGACTTTTACCT